TCCAAGGAGCAGTATGAGGCGGCACAGAAAGTAGAGCAGGAGTACAGCCGCTTCTTCACAGGTTGGTGGAAATTACTTATTTTATCTCTGATGTACAAAAGCTAGTATTGATACAGGGGATTACATAACAGCAACAGTTATTCTGATCTTACAGAGACAGATTGGTACACAGCTTTGTAAATGTACCGAATGAGCTGCTAAATGTGTATCACTGCAGCACCGGACCCCAGTTTGTGAATAAAGGTTTATCCTTTTATCCAGTACGTCACCTCAGACCTGTTAAAGGGTCAGTTCACCCAAGTCACACAAAATATATCTTCATGATGATCTCTCCATGCAGACTGTTTGTTGTATTGACATGTCTTCCTCTTCAGTGTCACTTGTCACATTAATTCCTTTATTAATTAAGAAATTACATCCCATTACTTAATGACATTATGACACATTGAGCAGCAACCAATGCTATCCTTTGGTCTTTCAGGACCTCCATGACATGTGAAAAACTCTTAACACGCTCCTCTGTCTCTCAGGACCTTGTGAGTCCCTCTAGACACTGAATCAGTTTTCTTCAACTGTGATAAACCACAGAGTATAAAACAACAAATTGTTGTGTCTGATGCTCATTTCCATTCCTGTGGATCTGGGCACTTTTGGGCAAAAATCTTGTTTTCGAAACCAGGCATTTAAATGTAATTTCACGATTCTTTAAGCATGACAAATAAAAATCAAATATATCTGCATTAAAAATTTATAAATCAAACCAAATAAAAACAAAACTGTTTGCCCTAAAGGGTCAGTTCAAATCTCACTTACAAGTGTGTTTGCACTGTAGTTGTGCACTGTTTATACAATATATAGGGAATACAAAAATAATGCACAAAAACCATTGAGCAAACCAACCTGGAATAAGTCATGGTGACAAATGTAATCTTGGTATTAATATGGTCTACTTAAACCAGGGAGAATCTCTAACGGCACTGAAGGTTGTCTGAAGTTTTTGGAGCACAGTATCTCTGAGGTCTTTAACAAATCAGTTAGAGTTTTGGTATCTGGAGCAGCGACCAGTCTGAGACATCCGACTGTCCAGCTGATTAATGACCGTATAAAAGGAGGCGATTTATGGGGAAGGGCTTTGGAAATGAACACATGCCACCGCTGATCCCTTCTAACAGGGAGAGGTACTTAGCCAGCTTCTGCATATGAGCCACGACGATGTGAACTGTAATTATCAACAGTTATAAATCTGAATGTTTGCTGGTGGATGGCATGAAGTGAGGCTCATCATATCCCTGCAAATATTTTGGCTGCACAGTTGTGTCTGTCCATGAGAAAGTTCATGTTTATAGCACTTAAATAATTGGATCAGCAAAAAGTCGATCAATTAAGATTTAATGCTTTTCTCTGTTTTTATATTTTTGAAAATTGAATATCTTTGGGTTTTTGACTGTTGGTCAGATAATACAAACCTAATGAAGATGTTGCATTGGGTTTGGGGAAATGAGTCAGTTGACTGATTAAAAATTGTATCAACTGCTTTTCTAATAATGAAAATAAATAGCCATTTTTCAAGCAAAAAAAGCAAGTATCTCCTAGTTCCAGCCTTTATGTTATGAGGATTTGCTGCTTTTCTATTTTATGTGATAGTAAACTCAATATATTGGAGTTTTGAACTGTCTGTTGGAGCAATCTGAAAATGTCATCTTGGACATTTTTCTGACATTTCACAGACTTAACAATTAAAGGGAACTTCGGATGATTTCACACATCAGTCTGTTTGCAGGTCTTTGGGAGTGTGGAAAAAGTTGTATAAAGCCTTTTGTGGCTCCAGAGTGAGCTGTGCAAAGACTGATAAACTTTTTTCTAGTTTGAAAAATAGAGTTAGAAATACGTGAGCTCACCAGATCTCTGAGGCCTGTTCCTCCTTTCTGCAGGAGGCTAGCTGCTTGAGGCAACATTAACCACTACTAGCATAACACACACAAAACTGTGACCAAACTGTCGGCAGTTGGGTTGCTTCGTGGGTAATGTAGGCACCAGGTTTTGACAAAGAAGAAGAAGGTGTGGAATAAAAAAAGACTCTGGTTCTGCTACACCAATTTTTGATATGAATGCAGTACTAAAGAAACTAATCACAGGACTAAAAGATACTGAAAAGAATCATTAGTTACATCCTCCACAATATTCTAATGACAAATGATTAATTAATAAAAACAAGGGACAGATTAATTGATGATGAAAACAATCACTAGTTGCAGCTCTAGATACATGAAGCCAAATCTGCAGATGTGCCTAACACCCCCCCACCCCATGTAAATATTCCTCCCTGTCTGTGTTGCAGGCGTTGTCCAAGGAGGCAGCGTCGCCTACATTTGCACTCAGATCATGACCATCGTGGAGCAGGAACAGACTAAAGTGCTGTGGATTCCAGATGGAGCACCGTAGAAATCTCACCTCTCACCTCATGTCACTCTGAAACATTAGAGGATTATTTTTTATTATGGGACACACAGTGAATCGGTACATCTAACAGACATCATAGCTAACTCCAATGCTTTTTCACATATACCAGTATCAGCACTGATGATGATGATGTAATATTCCCACTACAATAGTGATGTACTGTACTACAGATAGATTTGTTTACACTAGTATTTAATACTTGAATGTTTTATTGTCCCTTATATCTAGTAGCACTCCTTTTAATCCCACTTTGTCCCATGAATATGTCGGACCACAGGAAGTCTGCATTGATGCAAACTGAAGACTTTATTCTTGAAATGAAGATAGAATGGACCACTGTGTTCCCTTCTCTATATTTATACGTATTTTCCTGCCATTTAATTTATCTAATCAAATCAAAGATGTTGGTTATGAACCTCTGTTACACAAATGTAGTTGTCTAGTTAATAGGAAGGAGGATATTTTCCAGTTAATGTTCTTATTTATAGAGGAGAAATTGGGGCAAATTTGCTTCGTTCACATTGTGTTGCATTCTTTTGTTCTATTTCATTGTCTGATGCCACCGTTTTTTTTTTTTTTCTTTTTTTTTTCTGTTGACATCATTTCAGTACTCAAAAATAATATTGTGCCAAGCTAAAAATAACTGTTGATCACTGTACATTCTTGGATTTATTAACACAACAACTTCCATGATAAATCTATTGTAGGTATGTTAGTTTGACCACAGTTTGTCTGCTCTACTGTTGCCAATGCTGGATTTTTAAGAAGGGATATTTTATTTCTGGCTCATGGTCGACTGTCAACACCTTTACATGCACCTCTTGGATTTTCAGTAGATCACGTTGTCAACATTTCATCTTCAAGCTGGATGAAACTCTTTAGTTCAGGTTCTCTCCTAATGAAGGTTAATATTTCTACAAAAATATTAAAAACAGAGTACAGTTAATGGAATTCAAGTTGTCTGTGTTTTTCTTTCAAAATGTAGCTTGAATGGTTTCTTCATCTTTTCAGGTTTTTATTTGTTTTTTTTTTTATTTTTTTGCAAAATAATTCAAAACCATGCTGATATTTGTGGAAGAGAAAATGCCACAAGTTGGAGCCCAACGACCAATGCGCTTTCTGTCCACTAGGCGGAGTGAACCATCACTGTAGGTGAGATGGTAAGATGTCCCTTTTTTCACTTTTCATACCACATTATCACACCTGCCTGTTATACAAAAACACACCTGTTCACTGACTCATTTAACCAGTTTCCTTGTAGAAATTACTTCATGTTATTTATGTTGAGCAACTCTTATGCTTTTCATAACTCTGAGAGCTGAAATATGTTTGAGATGATGCTGCCATCAAGTATTAGGGTCATACTTTGAGGAGCATTTGTTTTTGTAAATGCTTCATAAATACATAGGCGTTATGAAAATGTTATGTTTATTCCCTGCCACTACATCTTTTAAAAATGATACATTTTACATGTCTTTTTTTTAATGTAAATCCTACAATTTAGGGCAAACACAATATGTTTAAAAACCGGAAGTAATGTACAGCAGTATGAGGAGATAAAGACTTTGAAGTAGTTAGAAGTCCCTGTTTGTAAACTGGATGTCATGCTTTATAAAACAGAAAGTGGCTTCACAGATGTAGGAATTTTGAAGTAAAATGGCTGTAACCACAAAGTTACAATCATCAAAAATTGATGAAGCGGTCACTATAAATAACCAAACATCCAGATAAGCATCGACGTCTGCTATTGATGGCTCCTCCCCCGCTACCTGTAAATCTGCGATGCCATCTTCCAACAAATGGATGTGACAGGCGGCCACCGGAGCCCGAAGAGCGAGAAACACTGAGCCCCGCGGTGCAACTCAAGAGACCACGGTTGTCTGTTTTTTTTGTTGTTGTTGTTGTTGTTTTTTGTATGGTCAGTTATTTAGATGATATCCTCGTAGAGAAGATCGATAAAATGCGACCGACACCGTGAGGAGCGCATTCAACAGTGCGCGGTGCGGAGCTCAAGTAGCGGACCTGCCGAAAGCTGCGCTGTGAAACAAGGTGGAGGAGACAACACGCCTCTTCTCTGTCATCGTAATAAGACTCATCCAGTTTTTATACATCGGGACCGCCTGTGACATCGTGACGTTCTGCGGGAGTTTGCAGGAAAATGTGATTTTTTTTTTTTTTTTTTTTTTTTTTTTTTTAAACGAACAGATCAAACGGATGACGCGCAGTTGCAGCCATGAACGCGCATCGTGAGGCGCACGACTGATATCTCGATTTCAAAGGAAGTTTTCATCATTGTGAGTGTGTCTGCTCCCGACTCAACTTTTACGTCCTCGCTTGGACAAGCCAGATGAGAAGGCAGAGGAGCGGGAGGTGGTTGACTCAACATGGCTGAGCCGCTAGGGCATCAGGGGGCGCTGGCTGGAGCTCCCCAAGGCGCCTGAATCCCAGTTAAGTTGATTTGTTTGTTTTGGGGGCTGGCAGATGACCACGAGCAGATAATGCCGAAAAACATGAAGAAATTCAACCCAGACCCGTCCATCCACATGTCCAAGATGGATGTGATCATCCCGTTTACACCAGATGTGCTCTGTGACAGCAACGGCCAGCGGATGTGGTGGGCTTTCCTCGCCTCCTCCATGGTCACTTTCTTTGGGGGCCTCTTCATAATCCTCCTGTGGAGAACTCTCAAATACCTGTGGACTGTGTGCTGCCACTGTAACGCCAAAAAGAAGGTAGGCTCTGTCAGGTCAATTCACAAACCACCACAGCTCAATGAAATGACTTATTTATCACAGGCTTTTTGTATCGCAGCCAGTGCGTGACAACAACGTGTCCAGCCAGTTTGATTTATGAAATGGGTTCGTAATGAAATCTGTGTTGAGGCCCCATCGACAGAGAGCACGGTGCATGACTCCGAATAATAAACTCTTGGCTTAATCTCACATTCAGTAACAAAGAGATACCATTATACTAAAATGTTTTTACTCTCGGACCAGATACAGGTGAAGGACGGTGTGTTTGGGCAGGTGTATGCAATTAAGTAGCTGATTGTGTTAGTGGGCCACCTTCTGTCGGTTCTTTTAAGTTGATTTGAAAATGGCCCAACATACAAGCTGGCTGAAATAACTCCTTTCTTCCACATTTTAACATGATAATTATCTTTTGGTTCAATCTAAAAGCATAACTTTTGGCATTAATTGAAAAGAAATCAGAAGAAATTGATAATATTAAGTAGTATTTTGTGTGTTTATATATGTTTATGATTAGGTATGACCATAATTAAAATAACTTTTCTGATTTGGACTTATTTTGATGTTAACAATGGGATATTTAAAGGTGGTTCATCCAAAGTCTAAATAAATAAATAAATTTCTCACCACTAGTGTTATGTAGTCATGCACTGGGCCTGTAGTTCTGGGCAAATAAAACTAAAACTACAGGCCCAGTGAGATATCGCTCTCTGAGATCTCTGCCTCCATTAGTGCTGCTGAAAACGTTGGGGGGGAAAAAAAACTACTTTTTAAAAAAAAAAAAAAAAAAAAAAATTCAGTTGTAACATGTCTTTCCAGAAACCATGTCCATGTTACTCTGGATAATCCACAGTCCTCCCTGTGAACATTTTGAATTGGAGCCACTTTCTGTTGAAGAGTCGGTTCATATAGAGCCTGTCCACACTGTGCTCTGTGGATTCATCAGAGTAACAGGGACACTTTCATGGGAAGAGATGTTGCTGTTTTTTTAAATGATGTGAGCGTCACCACCATTGTACTGGGGAGGAAGCAGATGTTTTTCTGTAATTTGTCTGACACCACCCTGTTATATTGTATGACATAGACACAAGCAGAAATGATCAAGAAGTTCAAATGTAATTTCACAAACTGGTTGCCTAGTAGTTGTCCAAAAGCATAGTTTTTCATATTTTTTTTGTCCCCATAAACATAGTCTGAGCTCATCAGTATTTGCTGTTTGAAACCCTCCAGTGAAGCGCAGCACCATTTTTTTTTTTTTTTTTTTTGACTCATTTCCAAAAGTCAGGAATAGTTTTTCAGGACACACAGTGCCAGTCAGCTGCTGCTACACGAGTCAGACATTGTTGGGATATCCAATTCTCTCACCAGTGGTGTGTATCTGAGTGTCTGTGCAGAGGTTAACACTCATGCCACAATGTAATCCCTAGAAATAATTTTCATAACATTTAAGGCAGACTGCCACTAGATTTTCTGTTTCACAATTGTTACGACACCATCTGCCTGAGGCCGGCCGCAGTCCTGCATTAGAAGGAACAAAAAAAAAAAAAAATCTTGCAGTTTTTCTGTTGTATTGAGCTTTCAGATTTCTAAACTGCATTATAGTAAAAGTTAAAGTTTCTATCCTTCCTTATGTACTGAAGGACAAAGATGGACAAGCTGATAAAGGGGCCGGAGATGGAGCAGTTTATCTTTTTACCTCATACATGTGCATTCATCTCTCAGACAGGCAGAGTGGAAGAGGAGAAATGGCAAAGGCTGCGTTCAGGGTGGTGCTGACCTTTTGAAGGGAGACATCTGTATCATTTCCATGCTTTGGTCGTCGCTGGTTTACAATTAGGGCTGCGACTAACAATTACTTTCATCGGCTTTCAATCCGCTGATATATTTTGGGTTTTTTGATTAATCACTTGGTCTTTAAAGTGTCCAAAAATGCAGAAAAATGCCCATCGCAAGTTCCCAGAGCTCATGATAATGTCTTTAAATTGCTTGTTTTGTCTGAGCAACAACTCAAAACCCAAATATATTGAAGTTGGAATGATATAAAATGGTAAATGGCAGCAAAGCTACCCCTTTTTTTTTTTTTTTTTTTTTCTTGAAAAATGACTTGGACGAAAGATTGGTTAAAGCGTTTCAGCTCTAGTTACAATATCTAAAAAGAATCCATCAGCTCGCATCTAAGTTTTATTTATAGATTTATAGAAACGGAAAGAAAAGCATCTGTGAAAATAAGATCAGTCCACAGTTGAACACTGCTCATGTGTGAATACAAGGGAGCAGTCAGATTTTTGTGTTTTTATGCTCAGAATTTGCCAAGTGAAGCTGGTGAGCTCCAACCTGTTGTGCTACTCTGTGGGAGTCAGCCACGGATGGGTCATCCTTTCACATCCAATCTTCCCCTCTTCTGCCTTTTGCTCTCCTGGCATTCATTTCGTAACTCCTGCCCTGTCTTCTTCTCACACCTCTCTCTCTCATCCAAGAATCAACCTTTCTCCAAAGTGTCAGAAATGCAGTGTCAGGCGCATACGGTATGTGCCATATGAATCAGTATTTTTGTTGCTAAGCAACTAGCAAGCAAAGGATTTCATTATAAGAGTAAATCTCTCTCTGTTATGCAGTTGTCTAGGCTGTGAGATGTGGCAGGTTGTGTTGGAGGAACACCTCCCGACCCCCCTCCCCGTCTGTGCATGTCATTAGCAGCCCAAACAAGGAGCTTTCAGTGCATTGTTTGTAGATGGGAGATGATAATCTGTTTCCTCCTTTTCTGATTTTCAGTTTGTTTTTCCCCTCTGCGAGGCGTTCGCTGCCCTGTTCTTGTTCTGACAGCTCTCATGGCTCTGAGACTGAGCCTCCATCTCTGTGGCTCTGCCTTCCCAGTCTGATGGTAATCGATGAAACTCGACGGTTGTGAGGTTCTGATGAATGACGGCTATTATCTGTCTGTGAGGAAGAAAGAAATTGTGTTCATTGTAAATGGCACTGTATTCACAGTGGGAGGATGACGAGTTGTGGCAGCCTCTCAGTCATGTTTCAGACTCATAATGTGCAAGTTTTATTGAAGGTGCATGTGTTTTTTTATTGTTTATTTAATCTTAGGTTGAGGAGAGCTGCTGGAGGTTTGACATACCACTTATCCAGCTGTGGACATGACGTCCAGAGGTAGATGTGTTATTGGCCAACATGTGGCCTGTTATTTAGACCCTGACCAACCAGTGGTAATGAATGGTCTTGTTGATCAGTCGGCTGATTCAGACTGAACAAGTGTTGGTCATGAACTTTCGTAAAACATTCAGGATTCCCACAGGATGAATTGAAATGATTTTTCGGATCCGCTGACTTTTCCTCTAGCACCACCATGAAGTTTGCAGCTTTGATTTCGAGTGTAATGTCTCATTAAGTATTGGACAGATTGCCATAAAATATTCTGCACATACACAAGAACCCTAGAGGATAAACTCTGAAGACTTTGTTGTAGTCCCCTGACTTTCCATAAAAGCCCATCATCAAGTCAACACTTTAATTTTTAATATTTTGGTTTAGAACCACATACCCGCAAAACTAATGACAGTCCCATCAGCCTCAGCTTGTTTGTGTTTTAGGCTAATTAGAAAATGTTAGCGTGCTAAGATGCTAAACTAAAAACATGGACATTAAACCTGCTAACCATCAGCATGTCCACCTTAGCGTTATGAGCAGTTTAGCATGCTGATGTTAGCATTGAACAGTAAGCACAGCCTCATAGAGTTCCCAATACGTTTGAAGTCCCGCTGTTCAGTATTTATACTTGTATATAAACATTTAATAAACGGTTTATAACATACTGTAGTGTAGGCACAAGGATAGTTAAGTGTATAAATGTGCAGTTTTTATCAGAAATTATTAAAATCTCCAATTAAGACATATTTAATGTTACCTGTTTACACACCAGTCTTATGGGCATCCACAGGAGTTATAGCTGTTAACAAATACATCAATGAACACCTGTGTATGTTTACAACTGTATTATAGTGTTATAAATCTCTTATTAAATGTTTATGTAGTGCCCATAGATGCCAAATACCAGTTTAGTAATTTTTAGATGATTTTTAGTTAGTTTTTTTTAGAGTGCTTAAAAGGGCAGGTTATGCACAGCCAGGGTGTCTTGTGGATCTTCTAGCAGTGACTCAGAGTTCTTAGATGTGTCAGGTGCGCAGGGTGGGTGGGGGTTGGGGGTTGGGGGGTCATTTGAGGATTCAGATGGAGAGTCACTCTCATGGTGCTTTTAAGTGCTGACTGAATATATTGCAATTATGAGACGAATGCTCATGATGTACGAGCCAGAAAGTCGGAATAGCTGAGTGGCACTTCGCTGTTGCCTCCCTCACACAGACATGCACAGAGACGCACGCACACACACACACACACACGGACACACAAAATGCCAGCAGGTCGAGCAGAGTGAATATTAATGCAGCACAACATCAATTACATCAGCTACCGTAATTTTTGAAAATGAGTTATTTTTGTTCACGGATTCTGAAACAAGCTCTCACTCTCAACAAGCTCTCTGCTGCAGGACTTGATAATGAAATACAAGAGTCTGATTTAGTTTGTGTCCATTTTATCTTACCTGTTAGCAGAAGTGCTCGAACACATCACACGTTGTACTCGGTTGTACTTCAGTACGAACTTAGAAGAAGAAGCACTTGAAGGCAGCATAATGTTAAGGAAGTGTATATATTTCCTGTAATATCGGTTTAATTGGCTCTGTAATTAGTTAGGCAAGTATTAGCTGCTCACGTTGCATAATACAAGCAGCATGTTGCAGCTCGGCTGTCATTGCACCATCTGGGATCCAACAGGTCTCAGATTAGCACAAATGTTAAACATCTCAACAGTGCCAGAGCCTGCTGCTTTTTCACACTCAGAAAGACAAAAGATGCATTTGATGCTGTTGCAGGACAGATGTGGTGGAAAGTGTTTTTTTTTGTTTTGTTTTAAGCGTA